GCACTGCGTGGCCACAGTCAGGGAAGGCTAGGAAACCGGGTGGCTCGTTTTTATAGTCCAAGTGCATAATCGGGTTCCCCCTTACATCCCCCTTCCCCTCCCTGATCCCCACCTTGCCAGAAAGAAAGCAGATAAATTTATGAAGGGAGAGCTAAGAGAATAATTACAGGGTGAAGGTAGTTAAATTTTATTTCGAGTCCCAAAGGCGAAACCTGACATTTTATTGCAAACATCTGGAAGAACTGCAAGACTGGCACGCTGCTAGTTTAAAATAAAAACAAAAGATTTTATTTCGCGCAACAACAAAAAATAATAATTAAATAAACCTCGCCAAGAGCGGTCCGCAGTTAAAATAAAGCGGGAGCGGGTCGTGAACAGGCAACAACGCGTGACTAGCTCTCAGCACACCGCAGACTCTTGAGCGAAAGTTACTGAAAAGCGGCTGCGAAAGTGTGGGCGAAATTTGGACCAAACAAGGTTTGAAGGCGTCCTGAGAAATTGGCTGCTCTGTTCACGTACCTCAACCCCTGCCCTAGACCCGAGCGGCCTTCGTTCTCTTCTGTGGTGGTGCGTTATCCAGTCCTCTCCCTATTTATTGCTTCTGGATTTGACTTAGGGCTGCTCTGTCGCCATAGTAGGAAAGGCTCCCAAGGAGAGAAGTTTGTCTCCTTTCCTCAAGTGATTTCATCCATAATGTTTTATATCTGGCAGTCAACAGAAAATACAATAAATTGCAGCCTCTCCCCCAATATGTGATTACCAAGTGTTTGAGGGGGTAACCTCCCGCCGCACACCCGCCACTATTTTAAACTTTGTTTTCAATTATTGGCTCAAAAACCCGAAATCAAACCCGGACGGGGTCAGGTCACCTTGATCTTGTTATATTCCAATTATTGCTCGGGGGTGGGGTGGTGAGTGAATATATATAAGGGCTGGGATATTTCTGGAAGTGTGTGTGCTTGTGATTTCTGTCCTGGGTAGGAGAAGAGTCACCTCCTTTTCTTTAGTCAATAACTTGTCTGGATAAGCTCTAATAATGTTGACCTCCCTGTCTCATCCCTGCTGCTTCCCAGGTCTTTCCTCTTCTCATTGCTACTTCTCATTCTCTTCCTCTTTCCCGAACTGGTAGCTGGTTTGACATCTCTTTACTCCAAGATCGAAAACAAATCCGCCCCCAAACTACTGACTCCTACACTTAGGCCAGGCTCTCACTCCCATACTTGTCCTAGTCAATTACCTTCTAAGATGAAATGGACAGTTTCAATCTCAGCCCCAGGGGCAGTGTTAATGTCCTAACAGTGACTGGAGTGTATGAGAGGGCATCCGTTAATCAGTTCTGGGATTATCCCAGTTTTGAATTGTGTTCCTTGCTTCTTCCCCCAGCATGGCCCACAAATATCAGTTGATTAAAAGTAACGGAGGAGGGAGATAGAGACAGAACAGGCAGTAACAGAGGTCGAACAGATAGAAAGAAAGGCAGAAACAAAGGTAGAAACAGAAAAGTCCCCTCCAGTCTGCAAAGTAAAAAAAAAAAGAGGCTATATTCACAGATACACACATTTCACTCAAATTCATGCAAATTAAAGCACCCTTTCTATTTCTCATCACTGTCTAGCCCCAGCCACACACCACTCACAAAGGCATCACACAGTCATATATGCTTCATCAGATTTTAGGCAGAAAATAGCTACCTATCTACCTCTCAGCTCCTACTTCTCATTTATGTCTAGCAAAACTAGCCCAGGTGAGAGTTTCCCATACTTTCACCAATGACTGGGCATCTATGTCAGCCTAGATATATTATAATATAATCATACAAAGGAATGGAAAGAGTCCCTCTCTTCGTGGGCCCAGGGCCCAGAGAGTAGGGAGTATGTGTATGTGTGTGTGTGTGTGTGTGTGTGTATGTGTGTGTGTGCAGACGCGCATTTCCACGTGGGCACGGCTCACTCGAGTATCGGAACATGTGCACAGATGATCTGCATTGTATGTATTGGACATCACCACACATGCCTGCTTTGTGTTGGCCTCTGGACTGGTGTTCCAGGTAAGTGTACACATCTATTCTTCTTGCTTAGCTACGTCTGCCTGCAACCCTGAGAGTACTGCCGTCATGTGCCTCTAATGAAATGTGGAGCAGAGGCCAGTCAGAACACTGAACAAGATTGCGCTTGAGAAAGAATCAATTCCCCTTCCCCTCCCTCCCCCCTTTCCTTTCCCTTGAACCAGAGAATCCAGAGGAAGGAACTAGCTAGATTCGAGAGTGTCTGGAGTCTAACTCATCTCCTAGGCTTTCCCCGCCCCCCTGCAGGGGCTGGAGCTTCTCAGCTCCAAGGCTTGGTTGTTTTATGAACCTTCAGGGAGAGTGAAAGGGCGTTGGAATTTTCCTGCAGGGTTTGTGTGTCTGGGGTGAAGGGATGGGGAGGTCAAAAACTCCTGGAGGGCCTTCCAAGGCTAAGGGAACTCATAGGAGTCACCTCGATAGCCCTGAGAAGTTAGCTTTTGAATTTCTGAGCAGTTTTGGGTAGATCTTAATGCTTACTAGTGAATACCTAGAAGAACTGAAAAGAGGGCCAGTGAAGCTAAAGAGGTCCAGTATTGCTTATAATATCTATCCATTGCAGTACTTTGGAGTTAACAGAAGAGAAAAAATACTGACAAAGGGAGGGATGTTAAGTTGACTGTGGCTTGCTTGTTCTTTGCACCTCAGCTTGGGGGGACTCACTCCCCAAGACTTGCCAAGTGACCTTACCCAGGGCACAACTCTGGGAAACACAGTGAGTGAGAGGCCTGCGGCCCAAGACATAGATACCTTCTCAACTGCCTCTTCCACCAGCCCAGACCTCAGGCCTCCAAGCTAGCAGTCTTGGGGGAAAGGAAGGAGAAGGGGCTTCAGGAAATGGCATCTGTGCCACCCAGCACTCACACATATGGCCTGAAGCTAGGCCTAGTCAGGTCTGGTCTTCCTTCCCTATTCAGCCTTCCGAGAAGAGGCTTCTTGCCTCAGGGTTTCTAGTTCTTCTGCAGAAATGCCTAGGTAAAAATTAGGCAGAGTCTCTTTGTAAAGCAGTCCAGCAGGCCATGATACTAGGCGACAATGAGAATTCCTTTTTTTCACTGTGAAATGCTATGGTCAGAGAGACCCCGGTCTGTCTGTCTTTCCCTATTTGACAGACAGCCTGTCTTCATATTCCTTGTCTTTTCCTGAATGTATTTCTTTTCTTCTCTATTGGTCTGGGTTGGTCTGTCATTCAGTATGTCGATCCTATGCACTTGTCCAGTTGTCTTTCTCTCTGTCTTCCTTTGAGAACTAGACCTGACAGAGATTATGAAATCTCTCTAATAATCCTTTACTGCTGTAATTTATTTGTCCCCGAGGAATCAGATTCTTACAATTCTTCCTTGTCGCTAGAGCAAGTTGAGGTTTCTCAATTCCTTGGGTCCAGTTAGCAAATGCTAAGTGTTGGGAGTTTCTGATACCATCTCTTAGCGATTCACTGTCAGTCTTTCATCTGAAACAGTAGGGCATAAGAAGGTAAAACCAAGTTCAGGAAAGAGAGGTGGTCCTTCTGTCCCCCCCCCCCTCGGTGGGTGGGGGGAGTAGTTAAACTTAACTTGTTGTAACTTAAAACTGCTTTAAGAAATAAGTGTGAAGTAGGGAGGAAACTCCAAAAGGGCTTTCTCTGCTGAAGGAAAGGGAAGGGAAGAGAAGGGAGGAAAAGGAAAAGAAAGGGAAGGAAAAAGAAGCACCTTCCCTGAAGAATTTAGATCACGGTCTGACCCCCCCCCCCACCATCACCACACACACAATTTCCCTGTTCTGTCTCTGAGAAGAAGCTCCCGAGCGAAGCTTCCGAGAAAGGCTCGGAGGGTTCCCTAACTGGGCTCCCAATACATAAAGAAAAAGCGGGCTTGTGCCGGGGGTGCTGGGGAAACTGTGGCCCAGAACTCTCCAAGTGCTTCAACTTAGCCTCTGAGGTTCTCCCCTCTCAAAAAGGCCCTCAGGTCCCATTCAGAAAGCGCAAGCCGTGGGCTTGAGAACACTCCCGAATTCGTTTTTTTCGTCGTAAAAAGTGCATGGGCTCTTGTTGAGACAGGTACATTGGGTGGTAAGAAAGGGATTTTTATTAAATTTTTGAAAATTTTTAATAGTAAAGGTGTTGGGGGCAGCACGGATTAGACCAAAAGGAGATTTAAAACAAAATAATTAATGAAACACTGGGGCTGCCAGCTCTAAATACAGAGTTTCGCTAACTCTGCTGGGGTGGGGGGGCAAGTGGAGGTGTAGCCCAGTGCTCATTACTTAAAGACACTTAGCAAATCCTACAACATACTTTGAATCCCAAGTTCCAAGATCATTATCAACTACCTGGGAGGCATCTTAGACACTTAGCTGAATTAGAAAGAAATGGTTTTGAACTTGGTATTTGGGAACATTTCATTTTTCGACTCTAAGGTTGCACTAGGTTTAGGTTTCCCCTTCCCATCTCACCCCTCAATTTAAGTGGGATCCGGGGTGACAAGGGTTAATGTCGAGGCTAACTAAGGAGAGACAAATAGGCCCAAGTTCTTGCCCTCTAGCCTCAGTCTCTCCCAGTTTCTCATTGGACAACAGCTTTGGGGTTTCTCCTGTTCCCTCTTCCCCTATTGGTCGGGGGCTTGCTTTTTTTTTTTCTTTCTTTCTCTCTCTCCCTTCCCCCTCCCTCTCCCTTGCGCCTTTGACTGGCACACACAGCCTGGCCCCAGCACTTCTGGAAAGGGAGGAATTAAAAAAAAAAGTTTCCCAGAAGTTTGGATCAGCGGAAAGACGAAGAGAGGGGGAGAGAGAAAAAGAGAAATAGGGAGAAAGAGGGAGGGAGAGAGGGGAGGAGAGAAAGAGAGGGAGGGAAAGAGGGGGAGGAGAGAGCGAAGGGAGAGGGGAGGAGAGAGAGAGAGAGAGAGAGAGAGAGAGAAGAGAGAGAGAGAGAGAGAGAGAGAGAGAGAGAGAGAGAGAGAGAATTTAAAAAAAGATGAAATCCAGTCCGAACAGCCTTTGAGCCTGCCCGGAGGGGGGGGGGAGCGAGGCAGGGGTAGGGACACCAGCCAGCACCGCTCAGCTGTCCCGGAGCCTCCACCACTGCAGCCGCTGCCGCCGCCTCCGCTCTGCCGGGGTCCAGCACCACAGCCTCTTCCCCAAGCTCATGTAGCAATACTGTCCCCGCTACGGGCCCAGGTTCCTAATTGCCGGGGGCAGCGGGGGACGCTTTCCGGAGTCGGAGGCCGAGTGAGTGGGGTGGCAGTGCTGGGCTTGTGGGGGGGTGGGGGGAGGGGTAGAGAGGACTCTGAGAAGCCACCACCTTCGCCAGCGCCGAGACCTACTGCCGCGGCTGCTGCTGCTCTAGACACCCGCTGCTGCTGCTGCCTCTTCCCGGCTGAGGCTCCGCTGGCCGCTCCGTCTTAGCGCACGATTTGTAGCCGGCTACGGGTGGGCTGGCGGTCCAGGGCGTAGGGCGGCTAAGATGAGTGAAAGGAGAAGATCTGCAGTCGCCTTGAGCTCCCGAGCACATGCTTTCTCCGTAGAAGCCCTGATTGGGACAAATAAAAAGCGCAAACTCCGAGACTGGGAGGAAAAGGGTTTGGATCTGTCCATGGAGTCCCTGAGCCCCGCGGGACCACTCGGAGACGGCGAGGACGCGGCTCACTGCCTGGAGCCCCACCCCGGTGAGTACGGCGTGCGTAGCAGGCGGCTCCGGGACAGGGGGCAGAATGTAAATCCGGGAAGGTGGGGGGTTGGCCTTTCCCTTTTTCTCTTTTACTTTGTTTTTTTTCCCCTCCCTTTCTTTACTGTTTATTTCCTTAGCCCCTCATTTTCGTCTTTCATTTTTCTTCTGCAGTTCTTTAAAAAGAAAAAAAAAAGTTTTGTTTTCTTTTGCACCAATGTCTCCAATCTTCCCCCAGTCGGCTCTTGAAAACTTTTTTTTTTATGGGAGATATGGTGTGGTTGCTGATATTCTATCATAAAACTAACTTGCAAAAAGCATGTTAATTAAATTGCGAAGTGGTGTCCTTTCTGGGGAGTGCACTCCAAATTCTGATCCAGATCGATTCCGCGATAAATGTATGAGGACCTGGGCAACTGAGAATGAGCATCTCTTCTTCTCCTGAGCGATCCGGTGAACCAGTTCTTCCTCAGAAAGAAAACTCTGCTTACTTAGGATCCCCAAACTTGTTTTACCCCTTGCTCAACGCCCTCATCCTTTCCCAACTCCCTGGGGTTGAAGTTGTGTGTGTGTGTGCGTGTTTTCCTGGCGATAAGAGATCGAAACTACATTATTACTGTATTTGTAAGTTCATATTTATATGAGAATTCTTTTCACATAACCTGCCTCTTGAATATATTCCCCGGACATTCATATCTATTATCTGAGTAGACAGAGGCATACAATTAATTTATATAAGACGTGTATATCTGCAAAAAATATTACAAAATTACCCTCTTAATATGTTTTTGAACAGAACTGTAGAAGAAAAAAAAGCTTGCGTCTTTCTTGTACTAAGTGCCAAGATTTCGCCTGTGAAAAACCGGCGTAGGTCGAACAGCTGTTATCAGAAGAAACTTAGACACACGCACACATACAACACATGCAGCCGCTTTTGGTTGTTTCAGTACATATCCAGTCCAGAGATTGTAATGCATTTCTGGAAGCGATCTCATGGATCTGGAGGCAGGGGGGAGATGACACACGCTTAGAGAAATTGAGAAGAGAGCTAGAGAGACCCTAGACCGTCAACTTACAGAGAGGGCAAGGGCAATGGGAAGAAACAGAAAATCTTGTTTCTTGTAACAGCCTGGCCCAGGGAAGATTCGAAGAAGGGGGCAGCTGTCTGCTACATTTTTTTTTAAAGCAATGACAGTTCAATTTCCATGGCCATGAGGGTAATAATAATGCGATTAAAGGGTGGACTTCGGAGACAGGATTTTATGAATTCTTCGTGTTTTTGTGTCAAGTTACGGTATTTGGCTTTAGTGTTGGAGAATTATTTTTATTAGACGGTGAAAAGAAAATTAAAAGGAGATTTATATCGGCGGAATACGTCTACGAATTCACGGGCACAGAAATTTGGAACACTGGTAATATGATTTCAGTATTACTTCTCTCCCTGGGCAAGTGCTCAAAGTCTCAGAGAATGTTAAGCTCTGGAAATCATATTGTGCAACTTCTTCATTTTACTGGTGAGGAAAATGAACCACAAAGGAGGTAAAACGACTTGCCCAAGGTCAAACACATCTAGGTAAAAGAGAGCTGGGCCTGGAATCCATGTTTTCTGGTTCCAAGTGTCGCAAATAGTGAGTTCTACTCCATCATCCTGCCTCTTAACACTTCTGTGAAACCGTTTCTGTAGCGCTATTTTAGTACTCTTGCCCCCGAGTAACCAGAGCCCTGGCAAGAGTTTCGAACAGGCAGTGTTTCCATTTCCCTTTCTATATTCATCCGATCCGAGTTAAAATTACTAAAGGAGTAGCTTCAACAGCAAAATTGGGAGTCTGTTTCCCTTATCTCCTCTCCCTCCACACCCCCCAACAATATTTCTCTTTCATTCTTCTCAAGGGCTACGCACTGCCGGCGGATCCTCCTCGGCTTAGCTCTTCTGTGGTTTCACTGTTAAAATTAGATGACACAAGTTCTCCTAATCAAAGTCACGTTGTTGGATTTTTCTTTCCCTACTTCTCAGCTGGAAGATCAAAGTCTGGGAGTTTGGTGGCCAGGAGGGAAATAGAGCTAAGAAAGGGAAAATGGAAGCAATCTTTGGGGAAAACGTAAACATTTGAAAATAATAAGAACAGTAGCAAATATATTTATTCATGCCGACTTTTAGCCCTTCATTTTCTTCTTCTTCCACAAAAAGAAGGTAACTTGTGTAGAGTTTTCCCAATTTGCCAACTTACTATTTAAAAAAAAACCATTTAAAGGAAGCGATTTCTTTTAGGAAAGAGTGGGGAAGGGGCGGCATTTAAAAAAAAGAAATCAGTAGTATCTCTTTCCTCCTTCTGCGAAGCCCCTACTTTCCCCAAAACTTCTGCGTGGAAATAAGTTCCCGCGGAAAGACGGTTCCAACCGCTTTTGTGCGTGGAGCGGACAGACGGAAAAATGAGCCATCCTCCTGAAGGGGAGAGCAGGCTTTGCTAGAGAGGGTCCCGAGGTTCGTTGATAGCTCCCGCGAGCTGAACCATCCGGGCAAATAAATCGGTCCGAGAGCTGAGGTGGTCAAGGAAGGAGATCCTGGGGCGAACTCGAGAGCTGGCACTTTGCAGAATTTGGAGGACTGGGGCTCTTTTACTTATTTCTCCATAGCAACAGCAACAAAAATTACGACCAGGTTTAAAGGGGGAAATAAAGGTAACCAAATCAAACAACCAAACTGTGATTCAGAAAGACAAGAGCGGGCGACTCTTTCAGCCCGTCGGGTCCCTGGCCCATCACTAATTACGACCTCTTCTTCCGCACTTAGAGGGGAAACACGGCCAAGAGCTATATCAGATCCTTCCCTGGGAATAAAATCGAGGGCGGATAGGGCTCGAGGAGCATGACGGTGATTATTTAGGACAATTGGGGTTTGAGTTTATATTTGATTTAGTTTAAGTAAACGGTCATAGCTGTGTTCTAGCCATGGGACAAGATCCACAAAGCCTGGGGGTGCTGAGAAGAGCCCCAGAGAAGTTTTCTTCCTTTTTATTTTCTTCCCTTCTAATCTTCTTTCCCTCCTCTCTCTTTCTCCTTGTTTCAATTACAGCTTGGTTTTATTTAATTGCTCGCAAGGCGAAAGAACAGAGACGTTAACACTAATACTACTAATAATAATTTCCTTATCCCTTGCCCGCATAATGGGACCGTCTATCATAGCGAAGCAAAATCCAGAGAGTGGTGGGCGGGCAGTGGAAGGAAAAGGGCAAAAAGCCTTCGAGGCACCAAACACCTATTCTATCAAGTTTCCAACTAATTGGAGTGGAAATAAAGAAAAAAGCTCAGGGTCACAACCTTGGACCTTGAAACTTTCAGTGAACTTCGATGGGGCAAAAAGGCATTTCTCAGATTCAGGGCGCCCACAGGAGTGTCCCAGTTCAAGAGGTAAAGTTCCCCAGGATTCGGGAGAATCAGACGCTAGGGCGCTGGGAGAGAAGGGTCAAGTACTGCTGGCCCACTTGTGCCACCCGCCGGGCTTTCTTGCGCCTCTAGCCCTTCCGGCCCCCAAACTCGCAGTCGCAGAGAGTCCAGGGCCTCTACAGTCGCGGCCTTGAAAAGACCTTCACGTAGCCTGTCTCCCCTTTCTAATCCTGGTTATATGCTCTAACTTCAGATCCCATCAAGTTTCCCCCGCAAACATTCGAGATCTTGCTGTCGAAAGCCACACTTAAATAACTCAGATGTTCTCGGCTCGGGCTTGCAGACAGTGTTGGAGAGCATTCTGAGGCTTAAAGCTCGGAGGACTACAAGGGCTTCCAAAGCGCTTTGGGTTATCCTCACGCGACGCAAAAGCCTGCTCCTTTAAGCCGGTTTGGGAAATGTCGCTGGTCGGCGGGGTTCCCTGGACGCCAAAAAGAGGCCAGGCCGGTGCAGGGACCCCCAGGACATACTAAAGAGCTGACTGAATTAGCTGGGGTTACATCTGCCCGCGAAATCTTGACGCCAGACTTGATGTTCTCTGACTTAGGAAATCACTTTAACCAGGGTAGGGTTTTAATTCTATCTCCTTAGTAACCAGGGAAAAAACAAAGGGAGTTTGTTTCTGTTTTTGTTTTTGGTGATGTTTGGGTAATGAAGGAAAGATTGACTAGGTTTCTGTGTGGTTATGGATTTGTGAATGTTTGTGCGCCCAAGAGCTTGAAACTGGGCGAGGAAGCATACGACTAATAATATCAGCCGCAAAGAGAGAGACCAATAATATTGCTGAGTACAGTAAATTCTTCTTTGTAGTTCTGTGGCTCAGTCTGAAGAGCTCAAAGAGGCTCAGGGATCCCTTCTCGATTCCCCTTCCTTCCCGAGAGATACGATTACCCGGGTTTTCCAGATGTGACCGACCCTATGTGAGTGTTAGAATACTGGAGAGTCTCTGCAGACCTGACTGCGCCAGTTAATCCGGAGTTGGGTGTATAGTTTTGGCTCAGTCTCTCAGATGAAATCCTTTGGGGGAGAAGAGAGTGTGTGAGAGCATGCTTGGGTGAAAGTTTTTACATGTGTGTCCTGCCCCAACACAGAGCAAGCCATGCATAAAGCTTCCTTGCTATTTTGAAATACGGTTTCCTATGTCAGGTCCATTGTAAGTGCCTCTACGTGAAGGGGAGAGAGCTCGGTCTTCTAGAGGGAGGTCTGAAATTGTTATCGACTGATCTTGACTGTCTAAGAGGGTGTTAGTTCCCTGGTTCATAGTGGTGAGATACTTTCTCTGGGGACTGTCAGACAAATTTATAAACGTGAAAAATCATATGGTGGTGTGGTGCTCTGTATAGTAATTGCTGTGAGTATGTCTCGGAAGGAATAGTAACTGCATTATGCCATCCGAACTTTGGAAAGATTATTGTTAAGTAAAGAGTACTGAGCCCGTCAAATTAAATGTTATAAAGTCTTATAAAGAAACGTTACTGGAATAATGACAATGGCGATACCACCATATGAAATACCTTTTAAATGTCAAGGGTGGTTTAAAGCCTATGGAAGGGATAG